CTATAAATTAATACTCGATAAATTAATAACCTCTATAAATTAATAAATTCTTCTGGTCCCGAGTTGGGACCAGTGTAAAAGGTGATACAAATCGATAAATTAATAAGATAATAAAAAATTTTAAAATCTTATGTAAAAATGGTCCCATCAATATTATAAATTAATAATTTCATAAATATGTCCACTATATATACATTACGTAAGAAACTTTAATGAAATATAATTCTAGTAATTTTTTTTTTCATCAAACACCATTTGTATTAAGATATTGGAAAGAGACTCTCCGCTATGAAGAGCCAATCAGGAACCGATGAACTTACATGGGAGAAGAGACCGTTACGATCCCGAGCATTTTTGGCTAACCAGTCTGCTCGAGTATTAGAACTACGAGGAAGAAATCTAACATTAAAAGAAGGTAAAAAACAAACAAGGGACCGAAAAGAGGCCAATTCTGCTGCAAAAGTTGGCCAAACGTCTTGGTTGTCGAGGAGAGAAATCATGTCAGAGCAATCGGATGCGAAGGCACCAGTGGTAATGCCTAGCGAGATCATACATTCCATTGCCCAAAGCAAGGAATCAATTTCCGCGTGGAGCGGTGAGAGACTTCTTCTCGAGCTCTTTAGGCCAAGATGAAGAATGCGGTCTTGGTCGACTAAAACCCAACCATGTCCACTTAGGGTATCCTCCGTATGCCAGGAAGCATCAATCTGACATTCCGAGATCCGTGGGGAGAAGAGTGGGGTAGAACCGAGCGGGCAAGAGGCTGGGATCTGCCGCATCTTTCAAGTTAGCTTGCTTCCAGACAGAAGCTTCTCGTAAAGCCAAGGCCAAAGTCTCCATTAGTTCTTGTTTAAATTCGCATTAGTTCTTGTTTAAATTAAATTCTAGTTCTTTTACTGTATCAATAACTTTTGGTGTTGTTTTGTAGACATAATAATTATTTTTTCCTTGTAATTGGTTCTAAAAATATATTTTATATAATGAAGGAAGTCTTATATTTTCATAAAAATTTATAAAAGTTGCAAAATTAGAGAAAATCTCTATAAATTAATATTTAAATTAATAAAATTTTGCAGTTCCAACATTATTAATTTATAGAGGTTTTACTATAGATGAGGAGAGAGTAAATGCAATAAAAAAATGTTTATTTAGAATCAAGTTAGAAAAGTTTCAAACCACATAAATAACATAACTACATACCATTGTATCAATATATATTTTATATATTGTTGTTATATGTATTCATAATAGTGAAAAAGATTAGGATCTAAAGTATATAAATAATCAGATTTATACATGAAAAAATATAATTGATCTTTCGAGTCAAAGATGAATTAAACCATAAAAGTATAACTACATAAGATGAATATGACTTTATTAACTTATTAATAACACACACAAAAATGAAAATAAAGTATCAACAAAAATAGTAAACATACTTTTTAAACAATTTTCAAAACAACAACTTACGCGTAGAGTGGGTACTCATCTAGTACATCTAAATAAAGATTAGACTTTCGCTATATGTCTTAGAAATTACACTTTGTTCAGTATGTGACTTAATTATAGTTATCATTATTTAATCTTCCAAAATTAATTATAGAGATTACACTTTGTTCCTTTTTTTGGTTGTAGGTGAAGCTTTTTTTTTTTTTGGCTTTTAGGCATGTGATATTTTTTAGGTTTTAGGCCTTGTAATTGTTTTTTCTCGTTTAATGGAAATTTAAGTTGAAGAGAATTATATATATATATATATATATATATATATATATATATATGTTATTATAAACTGAAAAATAATTTAAATACTCAAAATTAATTTCCAAATAGTACTATGTAAGGTGACATTCTACATCACACAATATCTCAAAAATAGTTATATTGAATATATTACTAACAGTCTAACATACATGATTAATATCATTTCAAACACTATTGATCATTTGAAATTAACCACCACGTCTTTATCGAAATTCTATAACACATATAAGTTCATTAAAAACCATTTATATTTTGAAATTTTATACTAAGTAAATAATTAAAGACAATAAATGTTGATAATATAAAATGGGTGACTATCCCATTATTGGATTTTGTTTTAGCACAAATTGTTTCACTACTCAACTCTTGATACAACTGATTCAAAAGAAAAATATGTTTGATTAAAGTAAAAAAATAACAATATAAAAAAATGGGAAAAAAATTAGTTTGACCCATAAATAAGGTCTAATTACTAGATTAACTCATAAAAGGTATGAGTTAATCTAGTTATTTTTCTGACCGAAATACCCTTTGTCTCTTTGACAGGAAAAAAAAAAAAGTCAATAATACCCTCTTATTATTTCGAAACGTGTTTGATATTTTTGCCAAAAAACAAATCTGCCGTGAAAAGTCTGTCGGCCTCGTTGTGACAGATTAATTTTCGACGACAGATTTAATGGTCCACGACAGATTTTTTACCGCAGCTTTTTTTTTTTCCGACAGATTTATTTGAATATGGTTACGACAGATTTTAAAATTGTAGCAGAGTTTTTTCCTTCGACAGACTTATTTGCTCTTGACACCACAGACTTCCGTAATTTTGACAGTTTTATTTCAGTGTATAGCAAATTTTTATTTCTAGTGTCAGCAGACTAATATTTTTCAGAACAAATCTGTCATAAAGCAGCAGATTTGTTAAAGAAAAAATAATTGCTAGTTTGACTTTTTAGTGGTGACAGATTATTTTTATGTTATGACAGATTTTTAAATGTCAACATAAAATCTGCAGTGTTATAGCAGATTTGTTTTTAAAAAATAAAAATTGCTAGAATGACATATAGTCCCAACAACGTTATGACAGATTTTTTTTATGTTATACCAGATTTTTAAAAAGTCTGGTGTTTCATACCAGATTTTTTAAATTGAAATAAAATTATTGGAATGATCTATTTAGTGACAGCAGATTTATATTTGTTATGACAGACTTTTATTATATTATGACAGATTTTTAATATTTATTTGAAGTCAGAATTTATGTTGGAATTTTTATGTGTGGCAGTTTTTTTTAAAATCTGAAATATAGCGACACCGCAGACATACTTGTAACGTGACAGACTTTTTAAATTAACTGCCAAATCTGATTCAAAAAGATATTAAATACGATCATAACTTACCATATTATTCTAGGGTTTTGTGGCATCAGTTACGGTTTCCTTTCTCCTCCATTCTCACCACGACACCACAATCCTTTTCTACAGAAAACGTTCATCTCTTTTAGGGTTCCTATTCAAGTGGATTAGTTAAATTTTTTCCATTTTCGGTTAGTTCTCTTTAGCTTTTCTTTCAATCCACGTTGTATTCTACGATTTGGAGTTCTATCAATAATGTTTCAAACCAGAGGGAGTGGATTGGATATGAATCAGGTGATCCTAGTATGTGGTAAATGGATTTTCGAGGAAAATATATGGTCGTTTGTCATTGATAACAATAGGGGATGTCGCGTGATGGAAGTTAACCGTGAAACAAGTTACGATCAATGCATTCAAATGGTCTTTGAGGATTATGGGCTGCAAAACAGAGTCTGCGATGTTGTCTTGAGCTACGAGATTTCGAAGATGATGTCGCAGTCCTTACCTGGTGATACACCACCAGTTTTTATAAGTAATTCTAGACAGTTTCACACTTTTCTAGGGTTATTGAAGAGCAATACAATTCGTCTATGTGTGGAAGTGAAAAGGAAAAACTCGACTCACTCCAATGAAATCGACAATGAAGGTGTCACTGCCAACAAATTGCAGAGAAAACGAGGAAGACACAAAAACGTGATGGAAGAAGAAGAAGAAGAAACTGATTTGTCTCAGGAACTCGCAGCCACAGTTGAGGTAGACGAGGAAGATGAAGAAATTTGATTTGATTACTGCGACGATTCTGACGGAACAGACTCCGATGACGAGAATTTTAGCTTGTATGGGATTCCACCAGAAGAAAAGGAAAAACCTAATTTACCAATGAAGAAGAGGAGTCTGGGTACTTTCATTGAAGAACAAAAAGAAGAAGATCATTATGCAACGTTAGAAATGTCTGCTGTGGAATTGGCTGTTGGACAATGTTATGAAACGAAAGAGCATTTGGAGACACGATTGAAGATACTTACCGTGGTTCAAAAATTTGATTTTTTTTTGTTTATAAATCGACACCATTTATATTGGTTGTCAAGTGTTGGGTTCAAGGTTGTACGTGGAAGGTACGAGCTACACCAACAAACGACTATCCAAAGTTTCATGTCCGTAAGTATGTTTCGGAACATACATGTCCAGTTACAGACCGTTCTGCACGTGCTCGACAAGCAACGCATGATATACTTGGTGTGTTGTATAAGGATTTTGTTGGTGGAGTTGGACCCACGGTATTGCCAATGCACGTTGCCGAAGCGATGAATAAAAGGTTTCAGATAAAGGTACATTTTTTTGACTCATTGGCAATAGATAATTTCTAATATTCGCGCACACAATCAATTATGTTTTATTTTCTGATAGATGGAGTATTGGAAGGCATATCGGACACTACGACACGCCCGTGAATTGGTGAGGGGGAGTCCAGAGAGTGGATACGAGCAACTACCCACATACTTATACATGATACGTAGAGCAAATCCTGGAACCTTAACGCGACTTGAAGTTGATGCAACGCAAAGATTTAAGTATTTGTTTCTAGCGTTTGGTGCAAGCATGCTTGGATTTCCTTACATGAGGAAAGTTATTGTCGTTGATGGCACTTTTTTACAGGGAAAATACAAAGGGACACTTCTAACAGCAACGGCTCAAGATGGCAATTTCCAGATTTTTCCAATAGCTTTTGCCGTGGTTGATATAGAGAATGATGAATCATGGGAATGGTTTTTCAAACAGCTCAGTTGCGTGATACCAGATGATGACAGTCTTGCTATTATCTCTGATAGGCGCTGATCCATTGGTAAAGCAATAAAGAAGGTGTATCCAAAGTCGAGTCGGGGAATATGTACAAGAACATATTGGTACGCTTTAAAGATCGGGATGCATTTGGTTTGGTAAAGAAGGCTGCAAATGCTTTTAGATTAGTCGATTTTCAAAGCACATTTGATCAAATTGAGGCGCTGAGTCCTGCTCTTCATAATTACCTGGAACGAGCTGATGTGCGACTGTGGACACGTGTACATTTTCCGGGTGATAGGTACAACTTACTTACAAGTAACATTGCAGAATCAATGAATAACGTGATGTCACATGCGAGGAGTTTTCCAATAGTACAGCTGGTAGATGAAGTAAGGTCCATGATGACAAGATGGTTTTCAGAGCGAAGGAATGATGCATTGAAATTGACCACAGCTCTGACACGTGGAGTAGAGAAAATTCTGCAGGTTCAATCTCTAAACATGTTCCACACTTGCAAGGCTATTCATGCATATTGTTCATAAATTGATATTTACCCATTGATTATTTTTACAGAGCCGTGTAGAGTACGCTAAGTTACTTACTGTACAAGCTATAGATGCACATCAGTTTCAAGTTACACATGGATCTTCTCTCCATGTTGTTAATTTGAGAGATAAAAAGTGTACGTGTCGCAGGTTTGACTTGGAGAAATTGCCATGTGCTCATGCAATTGCGGCAGGTGAAAACAGGAAAGTCTCTAGAATTTCAATGTGTCATGCTTATTATCACAAAAACTACTTGTGCAATTCCTATGCAAACGCCATCATGCCTAGGGATTTTGCTATACCTGTTCCTGATCATGTGGCTACCAAGATATGTTTGCCCCCAGAAGCTCGTCAACAACCAGGAAGGCCAAAAAAATCAAGAATTAAATCTGCATTGGAGATTGCTATGGAGAAGAAGAAGCCAAGAAAACTACACACTTGTGGGAAATGCAATCAAGTAGGACATAATCGTAAGACATGTAATTCTTAAATTTTTCTTAAAGATTTCTTCTGTTGGTTTGATTTGGTTTTTTCTGTTTCAACTCTATTATGTTCTTGGCAGCCTTTGTATTTCATTCAAGAGTAGACAGCTAAGTACGTTATGTTCTTTTTTTTTTTGGTGTTTAAGGTCTACTACATAATATGTTATGAAAATAAAAGTCAATACATGAAACAAAATAAAAACTTCTAACCATAAGGTACTTAAACGTTGAAAAACCTAGTAGAATTAGGTCTGAGAAATAAAGAAACAAGAAAAGCTACAAATCCGAGATGACATGAAATAAAATAGAAGAAACTACTCAGAGTCTTCGAGATGAGGGATTGTGATTTCTTCACGACACATATCAAGCTCATACGGTCTGGCTGTCTCTCTCACTTCATCATATAGCTCCGCTGCAAGTTTAATACGTATCGCCTTCATGTTTTCATCGCAAAGCCCATCGAATGATGTCCCAATCGCCGGGATCTTTATTCACTGGTACTTTCTTTGTAATCCTTTTCACTTCTAGCCTTGCAGTACTCTTCTTACGTATCTCCTCAGGTACCATAACACTCATCATGGCAGGGATCATTTCTCGCAAAAACATGCATTGTCTCGACATTTCAGGTATAGTGGTCAAATGTGGGATGCTATCGTAGATGTTAATCCTCTTCATAGGGAGGTCAATATCAAGAGCAACCCAATGATCCCCATTGACAAAGAGGCAAGCATAAAGATGATCAACATCAACGAACCATTTCTTGTGAGTAGCTGATTCAATTGGAGCTGTCCCGTTGAGGTGTTCCGCAAAGAAATCCCTAAACTTGAAGCACTTACGACCTCCTGAAAAGTGCTTGTAATCTTGAGCCAACTCCCTCAACATGTATTGGTCCAAGAAAGTTATTCGTTGATTAGGGTACACTGAAGGCTCACGCATCAACCTTTTGCGGAACATAGCCATCGCAGACCCATATGCTACATTAATAATTAAACCAGTTAGAGTCAATAAAAATCTGAAACGATTAAACTGAAAATGTTAATAGATTTTCATCATCTTAAATGACTTACATAATCTTTCAACCATCCATATTTTTCATGTGGCCATTGTTCTCTTAAAGTCAAAATTTGCCAATAGAATCTCGTATCTGGATTACTAGTCTGAATAAGATCGTCCCTGAAAAAAATAATAAGTCATTAGAAAGACAAAGTTACATTTCGATATTGGAAGATTAAATATCAAAATGTCTTACTCTTCATCCTCCTCGAGGAAATCAAACAGTTGATGAACCTTCTCGTCAGAAGCAGGTTTAAGATGATCAGGTATCGAGGAAGAAGGTCCACCATCCGTAATGATGCGCTTCACTGTAGAGTTACCAACATACGGGTACTTTTGAGAACCATCCAATTGTGGCACTCTTCTTCCCACAGTCATACCCTCATCTAGATTCTTTATTTTCTCTACCATTGCTGTCAATGTTGCATTCATTACCTTATTAGCATGTTGTTGTCCAGGATCCGAGAATGTGTCTTCAGAACTTGAAACCATTTTCAGAGCATCATCTTTCACTTGGTCAGTAACATCTACGACATCGTCTTCTTGGGTAATAGACTTCATCTTCATCTTATTCCCAGCCATTGTAGCAGATTTGTTTGCAGCCTTTGAACCGTCTTTCGTAGCCGCCTCATCTTGCACCGCAGCTTTTGCGCCACCAATCTTGGATGCCTTGAAACCCGGGTTCTTAGCAGCAACTTCTTTAACCGCTGCCTTGGAGCCGCCTTTCTTGGCAACCTTTGTAACAGCAACGGCTAGGGCAGGCTTTGAGCTAGCTTTCACCACAGTCTTTGTAGCTTCTAATTTCAGCGCAGCGTTTTCATAATTTTTCCTCTCAGGCTTTGTACCATCTTTCTTTTCAAATAAGATAAGATCACCAGATATTTCACCTTCTTTCTTTTCCTTCTTTCTCACTGTATAGACTTTCTTCACCACTCTTTGAATAGGCAAACCATCATGTGAAGTAGGATTCTCCTCTACTACCCAAGACTGCAAAATTAAAATTAGTAATAGTGTCAATAATAGACATCTAAAATCAAACCAAATTTAGTAAAAGTGCCAAAAAGTACAACTAGAATTTAGATAGAGGAGGTGAAAGTATAACTTACAGGAGATTTACTAGTTGCCTCATCATCTTCATTGTTGTTTGAGGTAGCAAATTCAGGTTTGTACTCTTTCATCTCCTTCACATCTACGTCACTAACTCTCTTAGTAACCAGGGATTCAAATTTGCTCTCCAAAGCATCCATTCTATTCCTCATGTTCTTGTCTAGTTCTGAAATTGTCCCATTCATTGTTTCCAACATTTTCCAAATATCGAAGATGCTCTTCTTCTCTGCTGCATCGTCCTAAAATGAATTGCATATTCACAAATATTCATTAATTAGAAATATTTACTCGGATGTTAACCAAAAGTTCGAATATTACTAGAATATCATATATTTTCTAAAAATTACTCATATGTTTTGAGCATTTGTGTAATTACAATTAACACCCTTCATTAGTTTTTTTTTAATTAATAATTTTTAATTCGTTTTTAATTAAAAATAATAAATAAAAATTTGATTATTCATGTCATTAATCCACATCACCAATCTCAAACTCTTCAAACTCACGTTATTTCTCCTCTTCTCTTTTTTGTCTCCAAATCCAAGAAAAGCTTTTAGATCATTTCTCCTCTTCTCTTTTTTTGTCTCCAAATCCAAGAAAAGCTTTTAGATCTAATAATCTGCAACTAACTTGGGTACAACATTGACAGAGATCTTCAAATTGCAGGATTGGGCTGCATCTTCCTAGACCTCACAGCCACAACGCTTGCCATAGGGTCCTAAATAAAAAGCTTCGTCAGATCTACTCGCAACCACGCTCACGAAAAAAGTCATCAAAAATCAAAACCCAAAACAAAGAGATCTATGGAATTCTACATAATTCGTTACAGGTTTGAGTTGAAATCAAGAATAGCTACTCTTTTACTTTGATTTTACATGTCTCTCGTTTAATCTTCCTCTCAATCGATCTATTTGGAGACATTTCTACTTCTATCTATGTTTCGATTCATACGGTTTAGTCTTCCTCCTATGTATCTCTCTAACATATTTTTACGAATCTTAATTTGATCGTTGTTATTTGACCAATAAATTTCATATTGTCTTCTCCAAAAAAATGTTGCTTTCCGATCTGTATTATAAATCAGCCGTAAAGTGATGTAACTCAGCCGTAACGTGATGTAACTCAGCCGTAACATATAATTTACACAACCTTTCGTCTTCCCTGAATGATAACTCAGCCGTGACATGTAATTTACCGAACCTTTCGTCTTCCCTGAAGCATATAACTCACCCGTAACATATAATTTACACCCATCTATCGTCTTCCCTAGAGAATATAACTCAGCCGTGACATGTAAATTTACCGAACCTTTCGTCTTCCCTTAAACATATAACTTAGCCGTAATGTAATTTTACCGAACCTTTCGTCTTCCCTTGAACATATAACTCAGCTGTGACATGTAAATTGACCGAACTTTTCGTCTTTCCTTAAGCATATAACTCAGCCGTAATGTAATTTTACCAAACCTTTCGTCTTCCCTGGAACATATAACTCAGCCGTGACATGTAAATTTACCGAACCTTTCGTCTTCCCTTAAGCATATAACTCAGCCGTGACATGCAAATTTGCAGCGAAACAATAAGAGACGCAACATTTCCTCTAATTTTATCATCGAGCACCAACTTGACAAGTTTTTCGTGCGTTGTTTTTGCATCTATCTGCACAACTCTACACCCTCTTTCATCGGTGTTAAATACATATTTGTGTTTTTATACCCAATTACCGGAACCGGATCAACCATATCGGGAGAAAGATGAAAGAAATTGAAGAAGAATGAGGAAGACGATGAGGAATTGGAAGTTCCGGTGATGTGATAAACTCAGGTGAAGAAGACGAGTTGAAAAAATTTGGCCCTATTTTTTTGTCCTTTGATGATGATGACATGGAATGTTGCATCCACGTCATTTTTTAATTGATGAAGTGGCAAGTAAGCCACCAAACGAAAATGTAAATCAGCTTAATTAAACCAGCCATCAAACAAAACTTTAACTCAGCCGCAACATGAATAATATTACAGTAATTAAAAAACAAAAAAACGGCAGCCAAATTCAGCCGTTTACTGTCGTAACTCAACCAAAAATATTTAACTCAGTCGTGTCGTTTAATAAGTCGGCCGTCATTGCATGCTATTCTAGTAATTAATCTTTCGCTACTAAGTCAGCCATAATAAGGCCGAGTTTTCCGTTAATCCAGCTCATTACGGCTGATTTATGATACTCGAACATAAATCAGCCGTAACGTCATCCCATAACTAAGCCGTCTTTGATAACTCAGCCAGCCGGAGAAAGTTAAGTCAGCCGTGTCGAAGCAATAACTCAGCCAAAAATTTGACAAATCAACCATCGGGTGAAAACTCAGCCGTAACTTAGGGTGGGTTATGCTCGAAAGTCAGCCATTTTATCATAACTCAGACAGATTTCAGTAAGTCAGCCGTAACTCCAGGCTGGGTTATACTCGTAAGTCAGCCGTTTGCTCATAACTCAGCCATTTTTCTTAAATCAGCCGCAACATACCGTAACTCAGCCGTCACTACCGCTATATCGCTCGACGGCTAAGTTCATTAATACACGTCAGCGATTTCTGACGTGGCGACGCGGCTTTGCTGACGTGGCAGTGGCATTCTTTGTAATTACGTTTTTTTTTGTAATGTTTAACAGGGGCACGCTGGGTATAAAAAATATACCCGAAATATGATAGTAATAAAAAAAAGATCTGTATGTTTCTGGTAATTTCATATAAAATGTATAACATTTGAGTAAATCTCCCAAATAATTAAAAAGAGATTTATGACCAATATACCTCCACATATTCTTTCGATGTTTTCTGCTTCTTATTTGGGATTTTTTCATCTTCCTCTGCAATATGGTCAGCCACTTTCATTTTGTTTTTCTGGCACTTGATACTACTCTCCACCTC